TGTCAGTGACGCATCTTGAATTCGTAGGAAAAAGCTAAACTGCCCACCAGCTGGGTGTGACAAAAATACTAGCTTTAAAATAGAAATAGAACTGCCTATCTTAGCTTATTTGTTTCTCCAGATTACTCTAAGCATTTGATTACTTTCCATTTGCTTGTCACTGGAAGTTCATTTCCACAAATACATAACAGAGGCTCAGACAGTCCACCCCCACTAATCCTTCCACCCTTCAGAGCAGCTACGCCAAATGCAGGGAACATGGAAGCTGTGGAATGCTTCCCTGATGATGGTCCCATTTTGAGGCGTTTGCAGTAATTATTACTAGCTCTAAAGGGCATTGCAGAGGTCAGTGATAAATTCCTCACTTCCTGGTTTTCAGAGCTTTGACTGGAACTCAGCTCAGCGTTAGGGAAAAGCAGCTGGTAACAGTATTTCTGCATTAATTACATTTTAGAGTACTTAATTGTAGCTAAGGACAAGCACGTGCAATCAGTCTTTTTCCCATGCTCGCAGTCTCTCCCTCTTGCCAATGAGCTCCACTTTTGTCTCGTGAGCCTGCTGTGACTTCAGTCCAGATGTTTCTCTGCCAAGAGATTGAAAAAACAGTAACGTTGCAAAATCCAGATTGAGTCAAAAGCAAAGATACAGACTTGGAAACAGTGTATAGAAGGTGCCTTAGTTAAAGTATTTAGTTCTTCTGCAAGGACTTCAAGTTCTGGTAGGATGGAAATGACTGCCAAGAATCACGTTGGGTTTCATGTGTCAGAGCAAAGATGGGGAGTCTGTCAGAAGAAGCTGCAAAATCTCTGCTGGGCTGCTTGTTGCTGGAGTCCCTGTAAGATGCCTTTCAGTCAGGCAGTAGTACGGAAGGCTGTCAGCCTACTAAAAATGAGCTTGAATGGCTTGTTCTGGACTACAGATGCAAAGAATAATCCACGTATTTCTTCAGTCTGTGTCTGAGGTAGGCCTAAAAGGAGAGAGATGGGAGGTACGTCCTTTTGAAATAGTCCTAGAAGCACACCTTCCGTGTTTTACATTGGGTGGGTTTGTGCTGCCGTCTCAAAGTGGTGTATGTGTACGCTGCTGCACTCTCACGATGCTTAAGTTTTTGGTGGTGTGCTTTGCTACTGTTTTTTTTAAACTTCTGAACTTTGATTCAAGACCTTTTACCCTCAAAGTGTCACAGCTCTGAACATGCTTTGCTGTTTGGCCACAAGTATTAACTTGACCTTTTGGTGTGAGGAATCTCACTGTTACTAGATTGATTTCTTATGTTCAGCATTTTTTATTCTTTTTTTTCTTTGTGAATCTAGCGTTCTGATAAGCTAGAAGAAGGTAGGGTACTGAGAAATGAATTCAGGGATGTCTACATGTCTGAAATGAAATCTGGCAAAAAATAGAGTAGCTGGGAAATCTTCAGTATTGGGAGCACTGTAAGTAATTTTTGTTAAATAATAGCTTACATAAGTTATTTTTGTTGTAGCACCAGTTGTAAGATATCCAACATGAAATCCATCTTTAATTGGCTGGTGCCACTTATTTGACAATGTGTGGGATAAATCAAATGACTTAGTCTTGCGTATAACAGACTGATGTCCCCGCTGCTGCAGGAGCTTCTTTACAATAGTCAGCGCTGGCAGAGGGAAGCTTCCAAACTGAGCTGCCCATTGACTGATGGGGCAGGGCTGGTGCCCGTGGGTCTGCCTGCTCTGTACTTCAGCTGCAAGAGGAGAGCTTTGATTTTCCAGAGCACTTCAAATTAGCAGCAAATTAGTGTACTCCTACAACTGTGAAAGGAGGTAAGGAGTCTTAAAGAATCAAGCTTACCCAAGCGTGGTCCCCTGGCTCAGTTCGCTACTCGAATTCACCATGAGGCCACGCAAACACTCGTATGAATACAGCCAGTACCTGGGCAGCCTGGGGCAGATGGCTAAACAGGGGCCGCGGTCCAACGCTACTGCCCTTTCCGGCTACCCGTGCCCTCCCTCAATTGCATATCAAGTTGTGGTCTAATATCCTAAGTGGAACTTTCGGCAAAAGAAGAGGCCCTGCTAACGCAGCCATTTCGTGTGCCAGGAGCTTGCTGCAGGCACAATAGAACGAAGTTGCTCCATTTAGGTAGCAATTATGTTGGCCTGCTGCACAGCTCTGCTTGTTAAAAGTATATTGTGACAAATGCAATCTGATCAATAGAATCTGTCTGAACGTTAACAGCAGGACAACTGCTAAGGCTTAAAAACACTCTGTCACACATACCTGATATACTTTGTCAGAGTATGGTCCGAAGCTGCCTGCAGTCCAGCACAGCTTCTCCACAGTGAGCTGTGTAGATCAGGTCCTCTGGAAACAGCATCTCACCAGTGCTGCTTGTACTGAAACACTCCTATGCAGCTTTGTGTGCATTTACTGGGAACTGGGTTTTATATTTGTTAACAGATATGCTATTGTATCCATATTAAAATGTACAGAGAACTATTCTAAGCTTTATAGCTGATCACCTTCATATGTTTGGGCTGCCTTGGTGTGGAACAATACTGACATTCAGTGGTTGATTATACTTGCCACCGCTGTGCGACTATCCAGGAGATTTTGGAGGGTGTTAATGTTCAGTGCTGGCTAAATTCAAAACGTGTTAAGTTAAACTGGATTAAAGCAGTTGTGCCAGGGCTCCTTTATAAGAATGCTGTGCTCACAGCATTAAAATTGTCTGTTTTTTTTAACAAACTAAATTAGACATGAATTTGGTCCGGGAGCGATACAGTAGAAACATGCAATAACACTTTGTAGCTTTATTTCCTGTCCCATTCTTAAGCGAATTGACAATCACAGTTTCCAAAACAACTTCCTCTTATGTACCATATTGGCTTAGTTGGACTTTTTTGTCCATGTTTTGACTATTGGGCTTTTTGCGTCTACCACCAGTGTGCTCTTCACTAGAGGTATCTAAGACCTGGCAAGGCCCCAGTGAAGATGAGCACATTGCTGTCATGCATGTAAAGGAGCAGCTGGAGTTGAGAATTTGAAAAGCTGGACCTTGGCTCCCTTCCCACATCTGCTGACTTAGGTGGAGGGAAATAGCACACTAACCACCTTCTTTAGTAGTCCTTTTTCACCTTCCCTGGTGGGCTTTGGACGACATACTTTTGGTTTGTCAAGATCAGCAGGGCCAGACCATTTTTCAGTGTTACAAGTCTGTTGGGAGGTCAGCCTAGTACTCTGGGCAGTTTAGATTTGGACACAGCAACAAGAGCTCACTCTGGATAGAGCTAAGTGCTTATTCCAATATTTTGGAATGAAGCTTAATCATACAGTGTTTAGATTCCTTAATATTTCTGTGGGACTGGACCATTTACGTTTAGATGCTTCTGTGCCGTCTTCACATTTGTGTGCCAGAGTTAACATTAGCGAAGGAGCAAATTTTATCTGCGTTTTATGGCATGATCCTGGCCAAACATCCTAAGATTCAGGAAAACTGTGATAGGTTTTTGGTAGCTGTGTTTGGCTTCTCTTGGACATAGAGAGTTGATGGTGGTCTTCCTGTTTCAAGGTGTGGATGCCCAGTAACTGTTTGGTCTCTTTCCAGTCATGTTTGAATTCCTCCAAAGGCTAAATAAACTTCAATTCAGGGTATCTCCATTGCTATCATTGGCCCGTTTCCACCACCTTCTCTGCACCAGCTGTAGCACTCTCTGGCAATGTAATAAGTTGCACCAGGAAGCTGATCTGACCAGAAACTCCTTTTTCTGGGTCAATTTATGGCTGGACCAGTTTCCTGATGCAGGTAATTGCAGAGCCACAGACCTGCTCAAATCAATACCTGGAATGCAAAAGGGATGAAGAGCCAGTGGCAGCTTCTTCAACTACAGAATGAATTTATGCAGGGTATAAGTACCAGATTAACTTCACCGTGAGGAGCCAGTGCTTGAGTGAGTTTGTTTGTTTTGTTTTCTAAGCCTGAGTTTAAACTTGGACCTTATTTTTGTCAGAGAATGGTTATGCTGCAGGTCAGCCAAAGCGTTGTATCTGTCTGATGTAAAAGCTAAAGAGATGAACTGAAGTCTGACAGCATTTGCCTCTTCTCTAGGTGGAGAAAACAGTTTGTTCACTTCATGTGAATCAACAACTTAGTTCACTTATTATCTCATTGAAAGCTGAGAAATAGACTGGGAATTACTTCTAAAAAAAGGCAGATAAGCTTGTCCTATGAAAAAAATGAAGGATCAGTGGCTGAGGCATGTTATTTGTAAATCTTTAAAGATATTAGTAAAAAGTTACATTCCTTATCTGCAGTTCATACTCCCCTTTTTCATGAGTGACTTAGTTTTTAAGTGTAAAACATTTTATGTAAACATATTTCTTGTGTGTCAAGCACACTTGAGGCAATTTGATTCATTAAACCAGATTTAAACTCCTGGTTTTATGTCCTTCTAATGAATTTCAACCCTTTATCCAAGTGCAGCTTGGCATAGCTCGTAAGTGAAAGACTAATCAGCCAGCAAATAAAAACCACTTTTCTAGTTCAGTAGCTGAAAGCTCACAGGCTAAAGAGCTGTGTCTTTAAGATAGTATAATTCTTAGTTATGTGTGTAAATGTTACACAAACTCCTCTGCCATAGGAAACTTTATGGCTAAGTTACCCTTACATGTTGCCAAACATGTTTAAGTGAGTGCCAACTCATGAGACTCAGCTTTTCTTTAAGAAAGAAATTACAAATACCAAATAGGGATGAAAGTGAAAATCAAGGGTGCTAGCTACTTGCTTACATTGTGATATATGTTAGCAACTTAATCCACTGTGAAATATTTTGCGGTGAAATATTCCTCTAAGTAAAGAAAATGCAATTTAAAGAAAAGCAGCAAAGCAGATCTTTTTCTTAAATTCACAGTGTGCGTTAACAAAGAATAACCGTTGTAAGAAAAAGAATGTGGGAGAAGAAATGATGTCAATCCTCGTATCCTTTTGTTTATTTTAACTTCTTTGAATGTGTTTCCAACAGAAAATGATCCACAGCCTGTTTCTTATAAACTGCTCTGGTGATATATTCTTGGAGAAGCACTGGAAGAGCGTTGTGAGCAAATCTGTGTGTGATTATTTCTTTGAAGCTCAGGAGAAAGCAATCGATGTTGAGAATGTGCCTCCTGTCATCTCAACGCCACATCACTACCTCATCAGCATCTATCGGGATAAAATCTTCTTTGTGTCTGTCATACAGACAGAAGTGCCACCACTCTTTGTAATTGAATTTCTACACCGAGTAGCAGATACTTTCCAGGTCTGTCACTGTTAAATAATTTCAAAATTGAAATAATTCCAAGGGAATTTTTGAATAAACTTATTTTAAAGAAAGGTACTAAACCCTCCTGTCAGTGACTTTCCCCTTTGCAATTTTTATGTCAAAAACTGATTTGTTGAGTACAAAGGAAAAGAAGGTATATTTTGTGTATTCATTTGATTTACAGATACCAGTGCATGTGCACTAAAACCCAAAATCCCATTTTGTAAATGCTTTTTTCTGTAAGCTTTTGTACTGTTAATATTATATAGATGAACAAGAAGGAACATGCAGTCATGAAACACTCTGTAGGGCGGAGAGAGATGCGAAGCCTGAGTCAGTTTTCAACTTATTTCACAGATACTGTAAATAAAGGAACCTCTGTGAAGACTGAGCATTGCCAAAAGATAATCTTATTTTACGAGAGTCTTCTAACTGAAGATGTGTTCATGTTCATAAGTGGGAGAACCTTTGGGATATATACTAGTAAACCAGATTACAATAATTTCACTGTTCACTCTGTCTTTATTTCTAATTAGATGATAAATGTAACTTTAACATACGATGCAATCAGACTATAGAAGTAGCTAGTCAGTTTAGGCACTAAAATTCCTTGATATATTGGAGGCTTTCTGTAAGCAAAAAAAACAAACAAACTTTTGCAAAACATTTGAACAGGAATAAAAATCCTCTCCTTTGTAATCTCTGATTTGTTTAGGATTACTTTGGCGAATGTTCTGAGACTGCAATTAAGGACAATGTAGTTATTGTGTATGAACTTCTAGAAGAAATGTTAGACAACGGCTTTCCACTGGCAACAGAATCTAACATATTGAAGGAGCTGATTAAGCCTCCCACAATTTTGCGCTCCGTTGTCAACTCCATCACAGGTATGATAATAAATAATTTTCACTGGTGACTGGCTGCTTAAAAACAAAGCCCCATCATGCTTCATAGCTAAAAAAAACATCATATCGGTGTGAACCTGGAAGGTGAGGCCACTGCCCTGCCACTTCTCACAAGACTTGAATAAAAGCAACTTCCTCCTTATTTGCAGTTTATGCCTGGCCTCTCTGCCATCCCCAGTGGCACTGTCTGGTCCAGCCACAGCTGCTGGAATCCCTCAGGAATAGCAGTTTCCAGCACAGACAGCACATACTGGAGACAGGTGCTCTGGGGTTGGTACAGAGCTAGCCCCAAGCCTTGAATAGCTGAGGGCATTGGAGAAGGTTATGCATATTATAAGAAATCATTATAGAAAGGTATATAACAGATACCTAATAAATCTTTGCTGACTGGGAACAGATAGCGTGACGGGAAGCAAATGGCCTGTCCTCAGCCTCCTCTCCGTGCCCCCCACCACCACCCGCATCCATCAGGCTGTTGTGAATGGGTATGTCTTGCACTGACAGAGCCAAATGTCTGTCAGCTGAGCTGGTGGAATCTGCTTGTCTGGCAAGCGGGTGCAAGGGAGGTACGCCACGACATATCACATGGGGTCAGAGATATGCGAGATGTTCGCCTGTACATTGTGTTAGAGAAGGGCAGTAGGTGGGCTACAGGGCCACGCGGATGTGGTGCTCGGAGGAGTTGGTCTTTGAGGTAGCACACGCATTTTAATCTTTGAGTATAAATCTCGTCAGTTTTAATTTCTGGGGTTTGGGGTTTGGTTGTTGTTTTTTGTTTTTTTTTTTTTAATGTGTTTTTGGATGGTAGTAGTTATACTTAAAAAATTAGCTATGACGTTAACGGACTAGATGCACCACTGTTAGGGGAATTAAGACTCCTGAAGCCAAGGGTTGCAGCATCAAATCCTCTTGTTTTATCTAAAGCCTTATTAGAATTCCCTAGGAGCCTAAAGCACCTGCCCAGGGTGGCCTGCGTCTTGTCACTGTCAACAGCCCAGCGCTGAGCGAGTGGGAAGCAGCAGGATGCTGAGGGACATGAGGCATGGACACCTCAACTGCTCCCCTTCAGAGATGCAGTGGGAGTGAGGAGATGGTTGCAACTCCTCCCACCCTGTTATGGCACCGGGGTAGACTTTAGGAAGGGTTTTTTCTGTATGAGTTATTTTACTAGCTCAAAAGAATTAAAATTTCTGTTTTCTGCCTGCTAGGAGAGGGCCTACCGCTGGCTGCCAGGCTCTCAGTGAAGCTGTCTCACGCGGCAGGACACCCTGCCACATTCGCTGTGCTAAAGGGCACAAGCGAGCGGCTGTGGCTCTATCCTGAGACCTACTTCTAGCAGAGGGAGTTGTTTCCACTATACTGGGATGCCAATACTAAGCCCCAGAAGTGATAAGATTGGGTTTTTTTCCTTTTTAAAAGAATCATCAGTTTACTTTATAGCTAGGTAGCTCGGGAAGCCCTTTTCTCACACCAGTAATAACCAGTAGCCGAGGGTGACAGCAAGGCAGGCAGGGGCAGTGGCATCACTGTTAAGGACCCCAGGAGTTGAGCCAACAGGCCAGGGTCAGGATCGGGATCAGATGGTAACAGGGTCATCTACAGCTCAGTGATTGCCGGGAAAGTCCATCGTGATGAGACAGGTCAAGCCAGAAAGTCAAGTCTATGGGCCAGGGTCTGGATCGATTTGGCCCATGGCTGTCATGTTGCTGCAAGGTAGCTCGGGTGGGTGCCAAGGGTGAGAGCCTCAGCCTAACAACAGCTCCCCAGCAAAGAGGGTGGGAGCCTTCCCTACAGCTTCTTCCAGCTCTTGCTTCCTGACAACTCTTATCAGCAAATCAGCCCTGAAGCCAGCCAGCTAAAAGCCTTAGGAGAAAGGGGAAGCTTAAGGCCTTCACAAGGATCTGTAACACCTTGAATTGCAGCGATGAAATTCTTTGCAGGATCTAGCCCCACATCTACTCCCACTCAAACCTTCTCCTGACTTGAGCCTTGTATTTTGCTGTGCAAAGTATAGTCTGCACGTAAGTCTGGACACATCCTTAAAGTGCATTCACATCACCTAATGAATGAAATTTTAGTGGTCCAGGTTCTAGTTTGCAGTTCTTGGGGGCAAACCTTGCTTTGATTTTTAATTTTGGCAGTAGAAACATTCCTTGTGTAATTAATTACTGATATTGAGTTCCTCTTCATTTTTAAGGCAGTACTAATGTGGGTGACACACTTCCCACTGGACAGTTGTCGAATATTCCTTGGCGCAGAGCAGGGGTGAAATACACAAACAACGAAGCTTATTTTGATGTCATCGAAGAAATTGATGCAATTATAGACAAATCAGGTAAGATGCCTTGCAAACTCATTTTTGTTTGTTGAATGTATTTACATTTAGCTGCTGATGTTTACAGAGAATATAATCCAACTACTTTTTTGGGTGTCTTTTATATACATGAATCTATGTCTTAAATAGAAATATCCAGTTCAAAATAGCATGCCCGAATGTATTTCTTCGGTTCATCTTAAAATAGCAATATGCTCTAGGCTGCTTCAAGAACATGCACAAGAAATATTATCTACTTAGATGTTTTCTGTTTGTATATTGGTTATCTCTTAAGAGATATAAATGGAAAAAAATAGTTGAAGTTTTAAATATGATAAGAAAATTGTCTTCCATTGTTCCCGCCAAAAATTTTCTGTAGTCCTTGTAGGCCCTCAAATGAGCAAGACAAAAGCTTTCATTAGCATTCTTCTCCTAGCAAGACAAAACTTGGTTGCAAAACAGCTGGCCAGTATTGTTTTCCTTATATTTAAACTGGAGCCAGATATTATGAAGCATAATAATACTCCTTTCTTTTCTGTTAATGAAACATGGGATCTTCAAATACAAAAGTCTTTAATCTGAGATTTAACTCTGAGGAGGAATCTGATAACTTTTGTGTAAATGTTGCCAGTGCCAAGAAGTAGAAAAAAATTATCCAAAAAGAAATCTGTTATGCTGTGGACAGGAGCCTGCTGGTTTGTTCATTGTTGGAGCCATACGTTCATAAAGCTGAAGACTGCATGGCACCATTTTGCAGTGGTATGGGGCAGGGACCAAATCTCTCATTTCTTCATGTGGTGCTGCTGTTGTAGCAGTAGTCAATGTTGTTTTGCTTCCATTCCGTACACCAATTCGACAAACGCTTTGGCCACTGTTGAACCGGATAGTCATAAATAGCTATTGTGCCGCTCTTACTCTTGCTGTCTTGAAACTAAAAGAAGGTGGCACAGTCAGAACACCCCGACAGCTGTGTTACTCTCCTCGCTCAATAGGATTCCCATGAGTGCTTAGTCTGAGGAGTTACATCGAGACCACGTTTGTATTTCTGTATGTGTTTCAAGTCTGGTCAGTGTCCATTTCCTACTGAGGATCCACTGCAGTAGTCATAGCTACCCTTTTCTGCTCTGATCCCTTGGGGACTAGCAATGTGAGAATCTTTCTCCCTAACCTTCGCTAGGACTAAGAAGTAGATAAGGTTGCTCCCCTAGAGTAGGGATGTTATTTTATTTCCTAGGGATATGGTTAACTGCTTTCATCTGAAACAGGATCCGTTCTTTTCAGCCAAAGTATTAACCCATGGTTTCTCCTTCCCCTTGACTAGATCAGCAATAGTTTCTATGCATCTGTCTTCTAAAATAACCTTTGCTTGCAGGGTTAATTAGTCCAGAGTCCTGCTCATGCCTTTCTGGCCTTATAGGGCATTTAAGGAAATGAGCCTTTCCTGGGTAAGATGCTTGGTATTCTTGCTTTGGGTGTTTTGGGGTTTTTTTTGCTATATGTTTATTTAACATCAAGATGGATACGTAATCCCACTGTTAAAACAAGCCATGCTTGTGAAATCCAAGGTTATCTGGAGCTTTATAGCAAAAACTTACTGTGTTTTGGTGTTGACTGTTTTGATGTGCTTCACCTTCCCTGCACCACAACTTGCTGGTTTTCTGGAGACAGGGGACAAGGATGAAAGAAAGATTCAGAGCTTAGATGTTCTGAAATTCTTATTGGCTCATTGCTGGCAACCAGTTCAAGCACATCCAGTACAAGTCCTGTGTAACAGCTGGCACGAGTATAATTAGCTGATTTGGGACAAGCTGTTTGCTCTGGCTCATGTATTTTAGCAAGCTGCCCAGGCCACAGGTAACTGGAATGACCTTTCCTATCTGTCCTTGGCATGTTCTTGAGTGTTGTGCAAATGTCATCTGTGCCCTGTAGCTGCACTTCACAATGTTTGTTAGGCCCTTGATAAATAATGTTAAGTGAAGCGTCTGTTCTTTTTTTCCCCCACAGGTTCCACAGTCTTTGCAGA